TTTCTTTCTTTCTTTCTTTCTTTCTTTCTTTCTTTCTTTCTTTCTTTTTTTATATTTTGCCCAAGGAATGAGGATTAAGAAGGAATAAACATTATTATTAATAATAATTTTCAAAAGCGAAGCTGCGTCAGTAGACAAGAAGGACAAAGCAGGAAGAAAGTTTCCACGGTTTATTTTTAAAAGGAAGGGTTTAATTTCAGAGGGCTATGAAATAGTGTGAGAGATTTGAAAAATAAATTAGGGGAAACGGCCGAGAGCGAATGGCTAAAACTTTACAAAATATACATTTTAACTCCCCCTTTCCAGCCCAGCCCACCCACCCACCCTTTCTGCTACCCACTAGAAGAGTCTAGTCAGTTTGCAAATATCTTGGAAATGTAGCGTTTCTCTTATTATTATTTTTCTTTTTTCTTAAAAATAAAACTTTTTTCAAGGCAAGACCAGACATTTCTCAAGGATGAGAACATCAGAACATACATTTCAAAGCAAGCCCATCGTCCTCACCCCCTGCCCGCACCCCCCCCCCCCCCCCCCCTGGGGGCTACCTTATGTAGGGTTTTGCAAGGTTATGCAGAAAACTGCCCCTGTGTGCAGGCCTGGCTGATTTAAGTTTCAAAAACAGCACAGACCATGATAAAGGGGATTACATGTAGAACATCTACATGTAGAACAGGGCTGTCAAACTCGTGGTGGCGTCACGGCAGCGTCATGTGACGTATCGTGACATTTTCCCCTTCGCTAAAACAGGTATGGGCGTGGCCAGCCCGTGAAGCATCCAGCCCGCGGGCCGCGAGTTTGACAGCCCTGATATACAACATGTTGTACATTCTACAAGAGGGGCCGGGAATTCTCCAAGAATTTTTTTCTTTTCTTTAAAGAAGGGGCTGAGAAATTCATTTCACCGGAAGATCACATGAAGATGCAGAGTACTGGCAAAAGATTTACTGGCCACTGGTTGGACTTAGTAGCCAGAGCCTAATATCCACAGCAGAGACATAATCACAAGAGCAAAGTTGTGTAATCCCCCCTATTCAGTGCCTATTCAAAGGGTTGCTGAACAAATGGCCGTTCAGTCGAGGGCTATCTGTAATATATAAAACCGAGATAGCCACCCATCCTCTCTGTATAACAAAAGGTTAGATTCACTGCGCGCCCTCGTTGCAATCGGAGAAGGAAAAAAATGCATAATGAGTTAGGAATTACGAAAAACCGTAATGCCCCTAGAAGTTGGCTTTGGCGTTTTATAGTCTTTATAAACTTTTGTAGAAAATATTTGACATCTAACAAAATAAATAAAACATATTTTAATCAGAGGTGCCTAACAATCAGCTTCGGAAAAATCTGCAGGGCCAAGGGGAACGGAGGGGGATCCGTTGGTTTGCTTCCATTGGCGGCTAAATTCTTAAGAGAACTTGCTTTCATCGCGCTTTCAGCAATGTGAAAAAATACAGCGAAGTCCATTTGAGAAGATAAAAAAAAGGAAGCTCCTCCACAGAGAGTCCGTATTGTCTGATTGTTCCATGTAGCAGTTACAGTTTCTTTTATTCTTTTAGTGCTAAAGATTCCTCGTCATGGTAATGAATCCTCATGGGCGAGGGACGTTTCTTTTCTCCATCATTTCCTGCTCTGAAGAACCATACACTGAGGTCTTCTGAGGAACGGATCTCTCTCTCCAAAGATGACTTCCACGCATGCTAGTAATGCAAGCGATAAGGCTCACCCTGAAATTCTCTCTGATACAGGCATCTATCCAGTGTAACTCAGCTTGAAAAATACAGCCACCTCCTCAATTGCTCGATGACCGAGGGAGAAGAGAGTTCTTCTGACCTTGAGGCTCTTCAGATTGTCCAAGCGCCCCGTGGTCGGGAACACAAAGGTCTTGCTGTCCTACTGAAGAGACCAAACAAATCTGAAAATCCATAACCAAAGGCAAGTTTGAAGGAACCGGCCTCCTGATGGAAGATAGGCATGTTCAGTGGGTCTGACAGCTATTCCGGGGGTGCCCGAAGAGTCCTCAACTTCTTGTCATCCATCCCCTTCCAATACTTGAAGTTGTTGTCTAGGTGTTGCATCAGATTTGGTAGATCTGCAAAAGCTGGAAAAGACAACAGGAAAGTCATTGACACCTCTGGGACATGGATCCCAAGACTGAAAATGTTGGGGGCTTCTTTTCTTGGATAAGAAAATTGTCTAAGATGTAGGGATGCAAGCTGTCCCTCCTTTTTGGTACCCGCCCCCCCCCCGCAAAGCTCTACTTGATCTAAAGGGCTGAAAACTGACAATGCCGTTTTCCATGATTTTTGAGCTAGAAAGTAGATGAAACTTCCCATCTAATAGAAGCTGTAAAATAGTCACATTTTCTTAAAACAATAAAGAACATTCCATATTCTCACCTCAAAGATGGGTGGGGGAACCAACAACCAAGTTAAGATCATTTAGACAACAGTTTTTATGTTTCCCACCTTAAAACAGCAGAAAGCAACACTGCCATCCTTCAGTAGCGTATCACCAAGAGAGATAGTTAGAAGGAATTCAGAAGAGGTCACATTAAAAACAAAAACATCCTGGACCATAGGTTGCCCACTCATGTCCTTGAGCAACCCAATCAGGACCATAGATTGCCCCCTCTACTGCAATCCTTCCCCCACCCAATCAGTATTGAAGAATATGCAAAAAGTTGACAATCCATACTGGTAGGTCATGAACAGAGTTTTCTCTCTTTCTTCTGCATCAGAGAGAAGAAATGACTTACCATCCCAAGCATCAAACATATCCATGATGAAGTAATCAATGAACGAGATTTGAGATTTAGGGATACTGCAGGTATTCCTGTCGAAAACTGGCATGACAACAGGTAAACCTTGCCTCTTCTCGTCATCGGTCTGCAAAAAACAACCACCACCACCAATACACACAATTATTTGGTTTATTACTACTAACAATATCTCCTCTAGTTCTGTTAGCGTTGTGTAGCTGTAACTCTGGGGGAATGATGGGGAAGGCGCAACTATCCACATATATACTTGAGAAACAAAACAACGTGGCAAGAAACTGAGGTATCCCAAAGGTGCTTTTTCTAGAGGCAACTGGACTGTCTGGTTTTCCTTTGGAGATCCCTCACTTCTCATCCAAGAAGTTTCTTCAGCTCTGACTGGATGGTGGGGAATGGAAGGGTTTACCCTCCTTGTAGACAGCTGGTCATTTGCATTCTTTTAAGAGAGTCATTGAGGCCACTTGGAGCTTTGATGATACAAGATAACCTAAATGACCTGAGAATCTCCATAGACATAACCAAGGTATCTGTCGGGCTCTGTTAGTGCTGATGGATAAACTGAGCCCATAAGCCTGTGTGTAAGAGCTGCTGAAGCCTGACATTATATACTTCCGGGATTGTTTAGCTGCGTCAGACGCATCATCAGCGGAGCAGGATGGTCGACGGTGACAAGAGGGGGGATTTGGGAACCCCCCCCCTGTCCTTTTGTGGCTTTTGGAATCGACTGTAGTGCTGCAACAGATGATGGGGGGAGGAAAATCTGGTTATATAGTTTACTCGTGAGTAGGTAGGGTTCATAGGCGAAAGATTGCAAAGATTGGACATATTAGGTATAACCGGATGGTGACCCAGAGGGTAATTAAGGGGCTAATTAGGGGCGAGTACAGGAGATAGGAGCATTTACGTGGGTGTGTTTATACCTTTAAATAGCATTGAAAGGCAGAAGCTTCCAGTGCTAACCTAGACCGGATTGTATGCCGTTCTTGCCGGATGGGAAGTTTGTTGTTTGACATTAAACACCTTGAAACCTGCTTTCTGCTGTTTTATGGTGGTTTGTGTGCAAATCTGCGAGCTTTCCGAAGACCGGCTGAGAGTATCATTTTTTCACTGAGGGGGAGGGACTCAAGGGCCACCAAAGAGATTTCACCACCTTCACTTCCATCTCCTTTTTTGTTGCCTAGGAAAAATGAAAACCAACATCCAGCAGGAATTTCTTCAGCTTGCTGTCTTAACTCACCTGTGCAAAATACTCCTCCGAGATCCGACCTGCCCACTCAATGCACTGTTCCAACGAACGGCAAGGGTTGGAAACGTCAGCACACTTAATTAGCATCCGTTTGATCAGGATTCGATTCTCAGCAGACGTGAGGACGTTTTTGATGGGATCCCCCTCGCCATTGGTACTCTTGGGGAAACAAAATTTACAAATATTATTGTACTGTTATTACTATTATTACTATTATTATTATTATTCTACTCTGGAACTTCAGAGAGCAAATCTTGATGTTTTTCTAGATGATACCTCTTCTAATACTTCAAAAGTCTTCTTTTTCAGGGTTAATCTGTCAGGATTCCAGCAATCGCCCTAAGTAAAACATGATTCTCGAGCCAAGCTTCAATAAACTTCAAAGGATTTATTAGAGGCGACATACTGGCACTGCCCTGTATGAAGCCAACTCTGATTTTTACAGAATTTACAGTCTGTTCTGACCCAACCAGGTTCCCAAAGAACAAACACAGACAAAGGCAGCAGCCCCCACCTTTTAAGGTTTAATAATGAATTCTGTTCTGAAGGCTGCTTCCCACTAATTAGCTCCAACAAGAAAGAGCCTTGCCAAGTTGTTTGTCAAGGCTGCCAAAAACCCAGAGATAAGAACTAATTTACAAGATTCTCCAAACACGAACTAAGATGTCCACCAGTTGAGCTTAAGAGCTTCTTTGCTGTCTGCAAAGAATGCTTTTCCAAACCTGGCTTTTATCCTCTTGAGGGAGGGGCCATTACCTTGCAGCCTTACTCCCGAGTCGCCTGTGCTGCTGTAATTGTTCTTTCCTCCAAGCAATCCTTTGTGCATGTGCACTTGGCACAGGTTCCTCAGGAACCTCCTCATCACTGCTGCCACCCCCCACAATCTCTGAAGGCAGCAGTCCACTCCCTGATGGTCCTGGCCCTTCATCAGAGTCCTCGCTCTCCTCAGCCATCTGCACCTGCTGCTGGCTAACCACAACACAGTCACCTGTGACCTTGTTTCCCCCCTCCCCCCTGGGTGTTTCTCCAATTGAGCACGTTCACAGGCTGGGTGTCATCATTCACGTTCTCCAATTAAATATATTCATGGGCAAAAGCTCTGGTATTTTAGTCACAATCTTTTAAAGATAAGAGTTGGAATGTACTTCCGCTTTCAAACTGCTGCACTGCTCTTCCAGATTTCCTTCCTCCCCCCACCCCTTTTTATGGCAACTACTAAAGCAGGATAGGAATGTTTTATGAGTTGACATAATCAACCTATCCTGTACCCCCAACATTTTGTAGGGATTAATTTTCAGTCCCATAATTATCCTTGCAAGCTTCTTCTTGAACCTGGTTCAATTTATTCTCATCTTTCTTTCTTTTTTAAATAAAGTTTTATTTGGGTTTTCACACATACAAAATACAAGTAAAACATCTTTTTTGAAAATACCATGGTCCCGGGTTGAACTTCTTTATACAGACTCAAAACTCAATTTCATGCTCCTTTTTGTATTCTATTCCATATCTTATACTATTTTACATTTTCTATATAGTTTTTCCCCTCTTTTAATTTTCTCAATTTTATTTTGATTATCTCATCTCAATTCAAATCATTATATTTATACTTTTGTCTGTTCTGTTTCAATTTCATATTATCTTTTCTCATTAAACAAGTTTTCTCCTATAGTTACTAATTGGAGTATGACACCTTTATATCTTTTAATTACATCCATTCAACTCTTATTTAAACTTCAATATATACCTTAAGTTTATGACCTTCAATATAATACATAATACATAACTTCCAATCGAATTCTGCTTGGCACATTCTTATAATACACACTATATTCTTTTTTTTAAAAAAAGAAAGATTGTAAATATATATAATTATAAACCCTCATTCCATTCCAGTTCAGTTCTATCATTAATAATCATTAAAACCATAACATCTTTAACACTTTTCAATTAAATATCATACTTCCTTAAAAACACATATAATCTCCATAATTAATTTTTCCCTTATTTCTCTTCACATATGTTTTATAAATCATTAAATATACCTTTTGTTACATTTATTTATTGACAAGCATTCCACTGAATTACGATAGCTATTTTATCAGACATTTTAATCATACATTGTTTCATATTTTCTAAAATTATTTCTGCTTTTAATATAACCATACTATCTTATGTACCTTTGCAGAATCCCTTTTTCCATTAAGTTTTCACCCATTATCTCTAAATAGACCCTGTTTCTCTATATTTTGCTTCTGTCCTTTATAACTTCTTTTCCTTTCTTTCTTCCCTCTCATCTTCTCCCTCCCCTTTTTACCCCCTTGTCTCTCTAGTTCTAATTCTCTCTTCTGCATTTCCCTCTTCTGTTGCTTTCTGATTTTATACTTATTTTTCACTCTATTCTTTTTTTGGGTTGTTTTTCCCAATCTTAAACTTTCCATTCTCTTTGGTTTTCTCCTTTTCCTATACTGACAG